CTCCCCCAGCACACAGGCCGGCGGAGATCAAACATCACCCGGTGAGGTTATCCAGGATGTGTCGGTGGCTGGCTGCCCCTCCTCTGTCTCGCTTCCCATCCACTGTGTCGCTGCTCTCGGATGGAAATTGACACATTTTACTTCACTGCAGCAGCATCGAGCAGCAGCACATGCTCAGACAGACTCACGCAGTACTTGCATCTGTGGTTAACCATTTCTTCACCGCAGCTCCGAGTCCAAACCTCCAGACAGACAGTTAGTGGAGTGGAAGTCTGCTCGGTTAGTCTGGGTGGATCCACATGCACAGCCATTATCTGCACTCACTGTTCCCCATTTATAATTTACTGCCAATATACAAAACACAATGCAAATAAAGCAAACGCACTAAAATGTAAATGTGGAAAGATATCAGGACATTTAAAGGGAAGTAGAGGTAATCTCTTTCGTGTGCAGGGTTAGCTAAATTAGCTCAGACTAAGCTAACCAGTTACAATAGCCTAACACAAGGACTTGCAATGGGGGCCAGCCTGGCTCTTTCTAAAAGTTACAAAATCAAAAATCCTACAGTCATTATTACATTATCTCTCATCTGTTTCAGTAATTACAATCCATTCTGCATAATGAGTACTTTTACTTTTAGTACTTTATGTTTTGATGCTGATACTTTTGTACTTGAGTACCATTTTGAATGCACAATTTTGACTTGTAACCGAGGATTTATACACTGTTTTACTCAAGTAAGGGATCTCAGTACTTCTTCCACCAATGCACATTACATAGACTGAACACGTGCATCGTGTCCAAACACCCATTGTTCTTCATTCCTATTCAGACCTTTGTTATCAGACTTTAAAAGACTTGGAAATGTTGCTTTCTCAAACTTTCAGACCTTTTTAGTAGGCTGACCCATCTTATACCCTCTGGGCTTTTAGTGGGATAAATATTTTAGGAGTATAAAGAGGTGTGAACCGTCACACATATCAAGTGACAAGAACTGGTGACACCTTGCACCAGTAATACTGTGGACTTCTCTTTGTGTCTTTTAGGAAGAGCCAAATCCCACAGGCCTGTATATCCTTATTACTGCCATATCCTTCACTATAATTGTCACTTTGACTATTTCTTTCAGCAAAACAAAATCAAGTGTTGTAAAACCACAGATAAGTGTTCAGGTAAGGACATACAAAAAGCTTCATTTTCTAGTCCTAATGTCTTACATGTTCTTATTTCAGTCCTTTCTTCTCATTGTACTGTACTGAGGTGGATTTAACTCAAGGGTAAAACAAAATGTTCACCGCCCAAGGACCATCAGCTGTAGCCTACAATATGTCATCAAAATAAAGGAAATCACCATATTTAAGTTTGATAACAGTGCATAGCTGTAATGGATACTGTGCAGTGGGAGTTAGCAGCCGGCAGCCGCTTCGCAGTGTTTTCCGGTAACAACAGCACTGGCCATTCTGATAAAGTATGTAATAATAAAAGGGCATGTTGTGTAAAATCATTAAACCTGATGATATAATGTAACACAGGATGTAACCCAAATAGATTCTGATATTTGCAGTCATTCGTTCTAGTTTTAAATGGTCCTCTCAGGGGAAATGGCCTCAACAGTAAGACACGAATGGTCACTTTGTGATTTGAGGAGCACTGTAAAATGTAATCTGTTTGCTCAGGCCGCATCACTAAACACATATGATTTAAAATGGACATAAATGTCAGATGCTAAACCACCGTACAGACGCCATTTTCCACAAGGCCTCATAAAGATGAGAAGGGTCCTCGCTCAAGATCATATAATATAGGCGATCAGCAATGACCTCATCCAACAGATGAGCGCACTGGAACAGACCATTCTGCTATAATGAGGAGGACGTGAACTTGCAGATACTATAAATACCGAGTTATGTCTAGATAAGGGTAAGAATCACAATGACCCCAAAGTTCCAGGAGTGGCTGAAAAACAAATCAAACTGTAACTCAAACCTACTGAAACTACACTTTGCATCCAAATCAACAGCACTAGAGAGGATTGGTGCAGAAAACAGGGAGAATCCATCTGTGATTTAGTGTGACTGGTGTCATGTTTAACAGCTGCTTATTCCTCTATTACTTTTTCCATATATTGTTGCCACCTCATAAGCGGGGAACACGGAGCCTTGCTCACACTCAGCTAAAACATTCTCAAAATGCTCATCTTACCTAAAAACGTTTAGCCCACCTACATACTTCACAGATATTAGGTGTTAGGTCTACCTGCATCACACCTGTTTTAGCCTGATTAGCTTCCAAAATATTTGAGTGAAACAATAACACTAGTCAAACAAATGCACTCGTAAGCATGCACACACACACACACACACACACACACACACACAGAAGTGAACAGTGTGATTTTTTTTTTCGTCTTGATATTGGATGTACTTCAAACACACATCAGGAATAGCCAGGAACAAAAGGCTGCAGCACTAGTGTTGGACAAACATGTTTTGCATTTCAAAAACATAACGCTCTCATCACCGGGTATATTGGTGTCAAATCCTGAGATTCCCAAGTGTTTCTAAAGGCATTTTCAGACTATTAGATATTTGCACTCAGCGGGCTCTGTGTGTTCTCTGCATGGAGCTGTGGTTTTTCAGCCAGTTCTCACTGGGTGCACATACACAGGTTAGCCAAAATACCAATATCGCAGAAACCCGTTAGCTTTTTAAACATCTACATGTTTAAATCTGAACTGTTTACACACATTGACATCAGAAAGTATTCAGCCCTTGCCACGTTTTGCCCTTTATGTTCTAGATCTGACTTTAAATTGATCTACAATCGACATTCAATGTGTACGACAATGTGAAAAAATTTTTAAAGATTCTTTTTGCAAATTTATTAAGTAAAAAAATATTATATCTGGTCTTTTTGTATATTTCACATTTCTTATCTTACTTATTTTTGTGGTTTGATTGTGCTTAATTTATTGTGCTCGGTTATTTTATTTTTATTTAAACATGTACAGCACTTTCTAACAAATTTTTTTAATAATGCTATTTCCAAGGTCAGCAATAAACTTATCAAGCTCAATATTTAAATAGGTACACCGAAAGTACCTGTCAGGAGTAGATGTGTTGAATATCGGTATATTCTCTTAGTAACGAATTGATCCACTGTGACCGATTATATCGGTTGTGTAACTGACGAGCTGAGGAACATCAAATAAACACACTGACAGATTG